AGGGACTGATTGGCTGCACCCACCCCTTGCCCCACGCACTGAGGGTGGGGCCTGGTGGCAGGGAGCAGTGGGTTGGGAGTGAGGGGCGCTGGGTTGGGACTGGCCATTTATGTTTACAAATGGGTCCTGGTACAGAAAAGATTGAGAACCACTGCTTTAAATGACTCAATAAAGTGTTTACTAATGTTCTGTTTTCAGAGAAATATGTAAAAGTTATCTAAATAGGAGCAAGTAGGAGCAGACAATGTATGTATTTCCATTCCGGTCAGACCTCATCTACTGACTTGCTGTACAGTCAGGCAAATTATTTGGTCTTTCTGGCAGTTCTCAGAGATGCAAATATAGTTACTTTGGTATACTTACACTGTTTTTCTTTTTCTTTTTTTCAAGTGTTTGGATAAAGAATGCTTTACAGTACTATTTATTTTTTTTACAATGGAATGACAATATTGTTTATTTGCTATGTTGCTTAGTATTACTTATGTTAGTGATGGCATAAGACAGATGTTTACTTACATAGTGATATCAGCTTCACTAAAGAGCTTTATAGGGAAAAATGTCTCTTTTGATGTCAAGACAAATTCCCATTGGCGTCAGCAGGGCCAGGACTTCACATCGCTCACATCTGCTACACTGTGAAAACCAAGGATGCAAGTCATCTTTAGTATGATGACATAATGTGGTGATACTAAGCTGATCAACTAATCTTAACAAGTTTATAATTTATTCTAAATAGTATGTTTGCTTCATATTTTGAGGCTACTTGATCTCTTTCTACAAGAATAAGGTTTTATGACAGTTTCATTTTTCATTAATTAGAAATTGATTTTAAGGGTGAATATAGTACCTTGAATATAGTAATTCAGCTATCAACCAAATAAAAAAAAACAAACAAAAAACTAGTATTACTACTTCCAAGTAGCAAAAACAGCTTTGAAAAATTTGTCCTACAAATTCTCCTTGAACCTCTAGTATGCCAGATCATTTGGAATAATATTTTAATGAAAATAAATAGCAAAACTGAAGCTGTGTATCAAGTGAAGTAGGTTCCAACTGACTGAACCTTGTGTACATATAATGCTTCCATTTGCATAAATAAGTGCTGTTCCAATCCAACTCTCATTAAGTAGACATGGACATTGTTTTGTGTTACTAATGCAGCTTGAGTCTTCTGAAAGCATCCTGCAGGAAACTACCTCATCCATCTCAGTGGTGACTCAGCTTGAGCAGGACGTGTCCACACTACGTAGCATCATACATGACATCCAGAACACCGATCAGACGGTCTCTAAAAAGATGCAAAGGCTTAATGAGAAATTCCAAAATGTTTCAGAATCGTGGAAAAGAAGCATGGATGAAATGAATGCCAATACCAGTAGTTTAAAATCTGAAGCTAAGCTCATACATGCAGAAGTTACCTCCCAGATCAATGCAGTTGATCAAAGAATAAAATTTCTTACAGAACAGGTAAAAGATTTAGAAGACAGTACAGCTAGAAATATTAAGACGATACAAAGACAGGAAGAAGATGAGCTTTCTAAAGTTGAAGAGCAACTGGGCTTCTATACAAAGGCAGTTGAAAAATTAGAAGAACAGCAAAGTAGTCTGTTAGCCAAAGACACAGATATGAGTCAGAAACTTACAGACTATGAACCTAAAGTTACAGAGTGCAAGACCCACTTACCAACAATTGAAAAAGCTGTTCATTCCATTCTTAGAGTGTCAAGTGAGTTGCTAGGCATGGAGAAAAAGATGGAAGATTTAACAACACAGATGTTTACTATGGAAGATGGTATGCTAAAAACAGTGTCAGATATAGTAGAGATGCAGAAGATTCTTGAAGGAATACAGTATGACAACAACATATTGAAACTGCAAAATGATATAGTTCTTTTAAAGGAAAGGGTACATGACATTACGGTATCTTCAAATACAGGAAAAATAACTTCAGAAAAATATCTAGAAAGTGAACAGATTTTGGATGACGAGTAATGAATTAAAGCAGTTTCACTTGTATGTAAAAATTGGACCAGTATGAACAATTATTTATAGTTCAGCTATGTAAATAGAGCTCATAAGCAAGTATTTAACAGGAATGTTGCAATTCATCTCAACAGACTTTGGATCAGACTTCAAATGCACATGCTGCCAAGGAATATATACTATATATTATAGGGAGGAAGTTACAAATACAGTTGTGGGAGAAGAATTACAAAAACTATTTTAAAAAAAAGTTGTAACTGTTTTGAAAATATTTTTGGAGTTCATTTTTCTTATTTGTAAATGGGATTTGAACCAAACTTTTTAGGTAAAAGTTCGAATTAGGTCAGAAGTTGGAGCCCAGCACACAACATTATATTTTGTAATCAATAGAGTTTTTTCTAATTATAACTGTTTGCAATGTTGTATTTTGTTACCATATTAAGTGACAAGCAACATGAAAAATTAAGTACCTGCGTCCAAGGAGATTACATGCATTGTATTTTGCCTCTAATGAATTATATCACTTAATTCAAACTTCTCAGTGTACTAGTTTGTGAATTTTATTTTGGTTAGTGGGACCAAATTTATTGCAGCTCTTTGAGAACATAATTTTCTTCTGATTTAATTTGGATCAAGTTACTCCAGGTTTACACTGATGTAGCTGGACAGGCTCCTAGCCCCACTTTGTTCATTTTTCTTCTACGCAGGAGATCCTACTAGCACCTACACATGATTTCTGTTGAAATTCAAATACTATAATTATCAGCTTTATAGCAAATCCTAGTTAATAGACAACTCTAAGGGATAGTGTTTTTAGAATTTAAACTTGAGAATGGCAAAGGAAGAGAGCTTTCAGAATATTGGTAATGAAGATGCACATAGAGGTGCACTGATATATTGGTGCCGTATCAGATCGGCATCAATAAAAGAAAAGTTAACATTATTGACTATCAGCTTTTTTTAGTCAGCGTAGCTGATAATGTACCAATAAATATAATATGCCTTCCAGCCCGGGCTCCCACATACCACATGCATGCCAGGAATGCAGCTGGGCAGTGTGGAGAGCAGCGCTTTGCAGGAGGGAGGGGGGGTGGGAGAGGAGGGGTAGATTGAGGCCCCTTTGGTGAAGGAGGGAGTGGGGCTGGGGCAGGGCAGTGAATAGGACCCCAGGGCTGGAGCTAGGGCAGGGCGTGGGATGAAGCCATGGATAGCTTGTCTAGGGGATCTGCGTCCCAGCAGTTAAAAGTAGTGATGGTGGCTCTTGAACACTCAAATTAGCTTCAAGGGCTGCCACCATTTTTAAGTGCTGGGATACTTTTAGGAGCGGGGTGGAGGCAGGCTGCTTGCTGTGGCCTTGAGACACTCAGCCCTGCTGCCTTTGCCCCAGGAGCTGCATGCTGGCCACGCCGTGTCCCTTGCCCATCTGGCAGCAGGGGGCACAATTGGCTGCCCCCACAGGTATCGAACATGCATGGGGAGTTCAGCAAGCGCACTGCTCCTGGGACAAAGGCAGCAGACCAAAATCCCCAAGCCCACAGCAACCAGCCCACCTCTGCTCCAGTTAAGTGTCCTAGTGCTTAAAAATGGTGGCAGTGGTGTTTGAATTAAAGCTTATTCAATGAGCTTTGGTTCAAGCCCCCCCACCATTTTTAAGCACTGGGATGCTGATCCCCTGGACCAGCCGCCCACAGGTATCCCAGCCCCAGGGTCCCATTCATTGCCCTGCCTCATTCTTTCCCTCACCGTGGGGGGCCTTGATCAGCCTTCCCCTCCACAAACCCTGCAAGGCCATTGATGCTCTTCTGCAAGGCAATTCTGTCTACTCTGCCCAGCTACATTCCTGTAAATCTGTTACAGGATTGGTATCAGCCAATATGTCTGGTGAATAATTGGCTATTAGTATTGGCCAAGAAAATATTTAATCGATGCACCCCATGATGTACATTTTAGTATAATTCCACACATTGGCCCAAATTCCCCTCTCAGCTACATTGGTACCAGTTGCTTGAACTCAGCAGGATTACACAAATGCAGCCTTTTCAGCTTCCATGACTGCATCTAGCCCCAGCCTGATAGAGGCCTGGTCCATCTGTGAGAGACTGACCCAGGCAGAGCCAACCCAGCCACATGGGGCTTGGAAATTTGGCCACAAGTAGAGGCAGTGTTAATTGCCACCACTCCTCTACCACTACATTTCCAGACCCATGGGGACACCTGCTGGCTGGGTCACATGGCTCCATGGGCTAGATCTGGCTTGTGGGTCAGGGCTGAGCACCCCTGCACTAATACAAATAAAAGAACATAGACTCTTCTCATGGTTGCAGGTCATTTTTCAGAGGTGTCAGTTACCACTACACTTTTCCTCCCTTGAAATTCTATATTTATAACCATTCACACAGCAAATGATTTTGGATTTTTTCCCCCCTTTCGTATACTTGGTACCTAAGTGAACGTATTACTCCATATTTACTACCAATTAGATTCCTATCATTCCTTCTATATCATAGTGACAAATTTTGACTTTTAAGCTGAGTAGCATTATTCTCTCTGAATATCAGTGACATTTTGGGGATTTCTTGTGAACCAGGGTGCTTACCTACTTCAGTAAGATTATTGTTGCTAGCCTCCTCCCCTTTGTCACAGGAATAAGAATGGTGTAACTGTAAAGGTGTGTTTTAAACTATCAGGTGACCCACAGCAGTCACAGGACAGATTGGTAGAGGTATTTATATAGAAATAAAGAGTTTTGCAAAAAATAAAAGTCAGCATATCTGCCTCATATGGACCATGTCAGTGTTGGCTGAATTTAACCAGCATCGTAGCTGGTTTCCATTAATAAGCCCATGCTGCTTTTAGCAGCAGTTCAGAAGATAGGCAGTGTATCTAATGTGGCTTCCTTGTAAGCAAATATAAGATGACGGGCTTCCCCCTCTGCCCCATGTTGATTGTGAGGGAAAAAACCTCATTGTAAATACAGTACTTTATTTTATATAAATTAGCAACATATGTTCGGTACGTTAGATATCACTTTAGTCTGCATACTAAAGCTGAGGGTAGCTATAGGCTTAAACTCAGATCTCGAGCACACTTGGAACTTTAATATACATTGGATCTCTAGATCTACTTCCAATTTAAGAATCTGGCAATCAGAAATAACATGGCTCTGAGCTCTTGAGTTGCACTTTGTGGGTTAATTTGTTCTGAAAGAAACCGTTGCTTGTTCTTCACATTTATTATATTTAGTGCTTAATTTTAATAAGTGCTGTGTATCTTTGATTATTACACCTATTACTTGTCCCTTTTATGAAGTGTTATGTACCTTGAGTCACTTAAATAAGGTTTTTTTGTTTGCTTTTAAATCTGCCTACAGTCTTGGTCAATAAAAACCATGTTCTCACATTTCCCTAACTTGATTGGCGCAGACTTTAAAATATGGATTGCTTTTATGGAAAAATGATAGTATAGAAAGTATAGTGTTTTATAGAAAAAACTGTTTCATTGCAAAATAAATGTTAATATCTTTCACTAATTCCACCAATAATTGTGGGTCAGATAAAGCTGTTGAGAGCTGAATTGCAGTCTCAAGCCCCTTCTACGTTACATATATTATACAATTAATTGGTTAATTGCACAATAAATTTAGACATACCACACATGCAAAGTAATTATCACACCATGAAAATGTCCACCCAGCTATAAAGGGATTGCTAACCAGCTATAAAGTGCTTGAAAATGTGTAATAGCTTATATAGCTGGTGTCTATCCAGCTTTAACTTAAAGGTGTACCAGGGCCTTAAGTCTTGCCAAAAGAGGTTTGGATTAGCTCAAAGTCCCTTGAAGTCTAGAATTTACACTAGAATAGGTAGTGCCCACTACTTTCTATTACAGAGCTCTTAGTCAACAGTGATCCAAAACCGAAAGGTTCCACAGCTTTAAGAAATGATCCCTGATTTATGGTGGAGGGTTGCCAACTCCAGTGGAGCCAGGATTTCACAGGAGGATTTTCCAGTCTGCTTAGGTCCCTACTCACCCCCCACCCCAACTTTCCTTCCTTCTTTCTTTTTAAATGAAGTGGTAATTCATAAGGATTCTAAGACCTTCCTATTTGGGCAAGCATTCAGGAAAACAGAGCTAAGGTAGGATATTGGTTAGGGCGGGATTTCTATTCCACATTGATACTTTAGGTCCCCCTTAAGTTTTGTTCTCTTGTTCTAAGTTATTCTGTCCTAGTCTTCTAAACTGCCTTGAGCCCTTGTTTGGAAGCATATAAATCAAATACAGCCTCAAATTTGCTTTGTTCTCCGCAAGAGAAAATGAATACTTGAAACAGACTATTAGGGATGAAAAAGTGTAAATGGACTGTTGTAGATTCACAATAAATTGATCATGCTCTATAGATCTGATTAAATGAATAAAAAGAAGGGTGTACTTCAATAAATTTAAGGTCTCAGAGGCAGCTGTTGAGCAGCATAATATATGGGCATTATGAAAAATAATTTCGTGTCAGCTAAAGCAAAAAAAAGCAGGACCAAAGATCAACTGACAGACAGCAACAGAAATGGTATTGGGCTCCATGTATAAGAATCTGTGGTAATCAATTACAGGCATACCTCATTTTATTGCGCTTCACAGATACTGCGTTTTTTACAAATTGAGGCAAGACCCTCCACCAGCAAAAAGATTACAACTCGCTGAAGGCTCAGATGATGGTTAGCATTTTTTAGCAATAAAGTATTTTTTAATTAAGGTATGTACATAATTTTTTTTTTTTTTTAGACATAATGCTATTGCACACTTAATAGACTACAGTATAGTGTAAACATAACTTTTATATGCACTGGGAAACCAAAAAGTTCGTGCGACTCGCTTTATTGCGGTGGTCTGGAACCGAACCTGCAATATCTCCGAGGTATGCCTGTATAACAATTGAGCTTGTTATACACACACGAAACATGTAATTCACAAAATAGACAGCTAAGACATGGTGGAAATACCAGTTTCTGTAAAGCTTAATGGCCTAGGGATTCTCTGTTGGTTTAGATTTTGGAATAGAAAAAAAATCTGTGAAATTTAAGTGAAATTTTGATGCAGATTAACTAGTGAAACACATGTGCTGATCTTGTGATTTTTTTTTAATCTCCCTCCAGTGTGAGAAGGCTAAAAGCTTAATGGAACAATTGGAAGATCTTCAAGTACTCTCTCGTGTAAAATATCTACAAGAGGACATATATAGTATGAAAACACTGTCCAATAGCATAATCAAAGAAAAGGAGGATCTACAGAAGAATTTAACCACCCTTTTTCATGCCGTTACAAGAGTTGAGCAGAATACTGCTTCCACAGCAAAAGACATCACTCTAAAGATCGGAACAGTAAAAACTGATGTTAGACGAGTTTCAGGTCTAGTATCAGATATGACCTCCTTGACAGATTCTTTGCAAACACTAGAAGATAAAGTAGATAAAGTTGAAAAGAAGACAATAAAAAATATTGGCGACCTACTTACCAGCAGTATTGACCGCACTGCAAAACTGCAAAGTTTGGCATCTGATAACTCGAGAAGAATTGAGCAAATTAAGACAGCATTGTCTGATCTGAGAGGTGATTTTAACAGACATTCAGATAGGCTTTTAACTCTGGAAAGTGACAGAGTTAGAGTTCTTAAAACAGTTACATTTGCAAATGATTTAAAACCCAAGGTGTACAACCTAAAGAAAGACTTTGCCCGTTTGGAACCAATGATAAATGATCTAACCTTAAGAATTGGAAGACTGGTTGAAGATCTATTACAACGAGAAAAAGAAATTGCCTTCTTGAATGATAAATTGTCCAATTTAACTAGAGTGCAGAACGAAATTAAAGATATGAAAGATGAAATAACCAAAATGTCAGATATTAATTAATTGCTATCAGAAACCCAGCTGCTTAACTTACAGCATTTGAAGCATGACAACCTAATTAGGCTTGGTACTAAACAGAAGAGAATAAAGAAATAAAGGCTGTTTTAGGAAAAAAAATACTGAAACTTAATTGAGGTCCAGCCCTGTTTGCTCAAGAGGATGGCTAAACTCCCAGTGGTTTGAAAACAACTAGAATTAGGCAATTCTTTAGCCAAACTTGTAATTTTTAGAATAAATAAGCTTTTTTTTTTAAACTGGCAAATATTTTTAAATATTTTAAAAATGCAAGACATTTGGATAAAAAGTGACCTACTAGTTTGCTTTCATTGGTAAAGTGGGACCACAGATTGCTAGCCAGTCTGAAGCTTTCCCTGCTGCTTTGAAGACAAGGGTGAAATTGTGGACTACAGATACAGGCTTAAAAGTGATAGTTTCTCTTAAATAAAGATGAATTCTGTGATTTTTCCCAAATTAGTTTTCATTTTTCAGTCCATCAACATGCCATAGATGTAATCAAAGGGAGCAATGACAAGAAATAGTGCTGGCTTTTGACAAGATTTCACTCTAATCAACATTACTTTTACTTCATTTAATGCAAAGTATTCCTTCTTTAACAGTAATTGCACCAAACTGCAGCTTCATTATTGCTTTTGATAATGAAATAGACCTCTTAGGGCAGTGGTTTTCATCCTGTGGACCATGGACCCTGTGGGTCCTCAGACTGTATCAGGGGTCTGCGAAAGATGTCTGTGATCAAATGTATGCGATTCAAAGGCATCCACATCTCCACGCAAAATTTCCAAAGGGGTCTGCAAATGAAGAAAAGGTTGAAAGCCACTGTCTTGAGGGATACAGTACTTTGAAAAAGCAAGCCCTTTCCCCAGTGTTGTCTTAATTCTATTGCCTGCTTTTGTTGGGATACTTTTGCTCTTCATTAGTCCCCTGTGCATGGACTACACATCACTTGGTCTGTTAAGCACTAGAGTGAAGAGCAAAATTGGTGCAGATAAAGAAGCCAACAGACTTCCATTTATGTTACTGCTCTGGTGGGAGCAGAGTTAATGGAGAGCCTTAGGGTTTTGAGAGGGACAAAAGGGAAAGGTAGGTGGAAAGGTGGAGTTGCACTGAAGGAGAGCATGGGAGTAATAGGTTTAGTAAAGGAAACAGCAAGTAAGAAGCCATCGTAGGACAACTATAAAGGAAGGCAATTGTGAAAGTCTTCGACTAGATCAGCCAGAAATCTTAGGACTACTGAAGATCTTCAGAACATTAGTAACTAGTAGGTACTGCTGTGTTGCTTCTTAGTTTCTTACAGCTAATACCTACTGATCGACTGAAAAAAGTTCCAGTTTACCATTCTTGCTGTGCTTCTCCCCAGGCATTGATGCTTCCCTTCCTTTCTTTTCCCATTCTTGGTCTTGCACAGACCTGTGACTTCTCTCCTGGGACCTCTATTCGATCAGCACTACCACCTCCCCAACCTTTATAGTTTCTCTGCCAAGCAGGAACTAGGGAAGTGGGGTGTCATGTGAAGAAATCAGGAGTCCTAATGAAAAATTGATTGAACAAACTCAAATGAGAAAAAAAAAAAGTCACAAGCTTAAATAATCATACTGGTTCTTTTCTGAACAAGCCCTATGCCCCTTTCTGTGTTTGCTTATTCTATCAATCACCATTTATGCTGACAGGAAGAAGGGCATATATCTGGTTCCAAATACACAGCAGATGGAGAGTGGGCTTGAGCTAGGAGACCATTTTTGTTGGACACACACACAAACCATCAGTAATTGATGATAATTAGAATTGAAACAGGGATGATAATGAAGTAATCAGAAGTCTCCAAGAATAGTTATACCCAGATAATTATCTTACTATGAAAAGCTGTTTACAGATCTGTAGTTTTTCTTATCATGTTTAGTGTCACTTGAGAACAGTTTCAGGTGTCCTTGTAGCAGTTTTCAACAAAATACAGCATTTTCATAGCCTCATTCTTTAGTTATAGAGGTATATGACATTTTAATAGACTCATCTGTTTTGGTCTTTCAAACCCAGATTAGATTTCTAAAATAGTTCTACTTATTGCTATTATGAGGGAGGACTAAATTCATGTAAAATTACTGAAATACTACTGAAAATAGTTTGTTCTGCTCAAATATCTTGACTATATAAATATAAAATATCACAATCTACTCAAAGTACCCAAGTTATGAGTCAAGGCAGCTTGGTATTTACCATTAGAAAGTTGCATCTTGTGCCTTCATCCCACCTGTTACTGTTTCAACACACTTGTTTTGTTTTCCAGGTTAGGAATAAATTGTGGTTTCAGTTGGTGTGAAATAGGAATAATTTAGAAATTGGTCATGTTGCCATGTAACTTTACTTTGTAATGATTTACCTTCATTCACAATAGGTCATGTTGATTTTAACTACCACTCTTCCTTAGCAAAAAGAATTTAAGCAAAATTACAGGTAACACGTAAAATGGTATGGTGTATTACCAGTGCCTAAAGAGCATCCACTTACAGGAGCTAGATCAAAGAGACGTTTAGAAACCAGTTAGCTCTAGTAGCAGAAGCAAATACCTAAACCTCTTGCCCAGTGGTTCTCAATCTTTTTGAAGTCAAGGTACCCCTCCGTAACTTTTTTGGAATTTGGAGACTTCTCTAAAGCCTTCTCTAGCGCTTAATAGTATGGTAAGCCACCCCAAAAATTGCATCGCTGATTACTCAGACTTGACACAAAGACTTCATAGTAGTCGAGGTACTCCATAGTGTCTTATTCCATAGCTTCAGTAAGTCACAATACAAAAGAAAGGCAATGTTCACTTACTGCCTTTACCCCACCTATTCCCAAAGACATTTTAAACACATTAGCGATGTGTAGGGGGTGCACATGCACCCCTTGCGCCAACGTCTGGGGGGCAGTCAGCACTCCCCACTCCCCCCGCCTCACCACTGACACTGCTGACAGCATCTGTGGGCAGTTGCCACTGGCTGCCACTACCAGTGTCTGAGGGTGGCTGCCAACCACCAGTCAGTGCTAATGTCGTCCCCAACCCCCCCACAGCCACGGCCACCTGCTGGAGTTTGCTGCCACCACACTGCTGCCCCTGCTCCCACAGACTCCAGGGGCACATCATTCATGTTTTAACATGTCCATTTGTTTTGTATTTTGATATTTACAGGTCAGTGACATGTACTGAACCAGAAATTGTAAATCAGATTCTTCAGTCCATTTGCCTAATGTTTTACGTAGGTTTCAGTTGCAGCTCATTCTTAATGCAAGTAGGGACCTACCAAAAACCACAATTTTGTGGAAAATGCGAAGTGCAGCATTGCCTGCAAGTGGCAATGTCTGCAAAAGAGAGAAGACTTATTTAAAATAAAATGCTGGCTCCCAGTCCTCACAGTGGCCCAGCTGCACAGCCTGCTGAGCAGGAAGGTGGTGCTGCCAACACAGAGAAGCCCAAGACAGCTTCTGCCTTTGCCCCACATCACTGATTGGCTGAGGGCTGCTTGTCATGTGGCCCCACCTCTCTCTGCCAATTGGGGGCCTGGGGCAGGGCCACATGATGGACAACCCTTATAGTCCATTACAGAGGGCAGGGGCATAACAGCTTTTGCAGCTAAATCAGTAGTAACAGGTGAGGCCACCAGGACTCCTCAGCCAGATGCATGGGGGTTGGGACCCTGCCACAATCAGTGCATGAAAACAGCAGCCAGCCCTGCAATTTCCCTGCTGTATCAGGTAGCCACCTCCCTGAGTTGGGTAGACACCTAGCCATAGGCCACCACAGGAGAAAAAGGCTTATGGGAAGCTGCATTTAAGAGTGAAATTATTTGATCAGTTAATTTTGCCCCTAACACCTCCCTTCCCCCAGTTTTAACTTTTAGTAGTATACTCTGTGTAGCAGAGAGTGTTAAAAAGAAAGAAATGAAAAACAAAGCTATCCAAGAGATACTCACATTTACTATAAAAACCAAGCTGGATATTTATTGTATTTTCATTGTGTACATTCATCTATAAAGAGATGATGTAGTAAGTGATTACAACCACCACATTTCATCTATAACCAAATGGTTATAGACAATACACATTTCCCAAAAAATACTATCAGCATTATTTTAGCAGACATCTAGCAATTTCAACATTGTACTAGCAGAAGCAGCATGTATTTGATGTATAATACAGTCCAAAAAGAGTAGTGTTTGGTTCTTAAAAGCTAGCATATGCATAGCCACAAGTGATTACCATTCCAGTGGTAGCAAGAAAAGAGGAGACTTACTTACTCTTTCCTGGACAGTACCTCCAGACTTGCACAGTATTTCCACATAAAGCTTTGCAAGTACTTTTAGTTAGACCTTGAAGTTAGCTAAAGTAATCAGGAATATTTGGTTTGAAATAATGTGCTCCCTTTCAATATCTTAACTCTTTGCAAGAGACTGTTGGATAAAAAAATTACGCAGTTAAGTCATAAATAAAAGAAAGAAGGAGTTAAAAATACAATAAGTCAACTAGAAAAAACTGTTCTTCCACCCTACCCTCCAAAACCTACCTCTGGTAGTTTTGGAGGAAGAACCTAGGCAATTTCCTCATTTTCTATATGTGGAGTTCTTGCATCCAAATGGAATATGCTTTATTCCAATCACAAAATGCAATCAAATGAGCCATTAAAAAGAAAAGCCAGCCTTGAAACATTACTTTATAAAAAAGTTATATAATAAATAGCCATACCATTTACATACAATCTCAGTTTCCCCAACATACTATACACTGGGTGCATCTATATATTTACTGCAGAGCTGCCCAGTTAGCTTGGCAGTGAAGTCTCAGTGTCTACCCATGAAGCCCTATTAGGGCACAGGAACCTAACACCACTGTAGTTTAGTGCTTATAAGTACAATTGTGTAGTGGTTATTTACTGCCAGAAACATGTGTAGACACTGACAGCTGGCTGGGGCACAAGAGTGCTTCACTGTAGGGTCTGCCTGCCAGCTTGCCCTGCACCAAGGCACCCTCGTGCCCCAGCTAGCCCCTCTGCACCGCAGAGCTGGGTCTGAGCTGCCCCAGGCAGGCTGGCTAGCAAGCAGGCCGACCCCTTCCCCGCCCCCTCCCAACTCTGCCACCTGGGGCTGCTCAGACCTGACTCAATGTGCTGCAGTCCCAAGTGCACATGTAGACACAGCACCCGGAAGCAATACACTTCAGCGAGCAAAGCGCCAGAGTTTATTACCCTGCATTAATTTCATGAGTAGATGTGCCCACTAAGTTCTGACTTACTGCAGGATCTTCTAGGGCAGAGTGCCAAACAGATAGCCACATGCCAAGTGTCATTTTCATTTAAACTTGAGACAGAGTAAAACCATTTTCCCCCATTCCAGTTGAATGCATACTCTTTTTTAATAGGAGCAAGTGTACTCAAAAGCCATTTCCGACTGAAGAAGGCAAGTTAGAGCAGAGCATTGCAGCCTGTACTGAAACTACTTGTCAGTACAATTACTTGATGGGCTTGATATTCATTTAAGTAGAGAAGGTTTCATTTATAAATATAAAACCTTCTCTACTTAAATGAGTATCAAGCCCATCAAGTAATTGAACTGACAAGTAATTTCAGTACAGGCTGCAATGCTCTGCTCTGACTTCCCTCCTCCTGCCAAAATGTTATGTACATGTGCGCAGTTTTGTTTTTTTTACATTTTTCCTAGATTAAGTAGGCAGCATACTTCACTCTTACACCCAAGTCACCCTTCTCCTGCTAAAAGAAATCATACCAGCACTCAGATGCACTTCAAACAACCAACCAACCCACCCACCCAGACACACCAACTACATTTTTCTTTAAGCAAAGGATTAGTTTATAACAGTGGTTCTCAACTTTTTTAGCTTCAAGGCACCCCTAATAATTTACTGAATTTTACAGCACCCCAGTTAAAGTCACTGATCTAGATCCAAGGTCAGAAGAGACATGTCGGGGGACTTTGAGGCCAAATAAGTTGATCTAGGTGGTGGTACTTGAAGGCAACAGGGGAAGGCTGTCACCCTGCTCTTTCCACTCTGTTCCCTCCTCACTCAGTCCGTACCTCAGGCTACTGCTGAGGTTACTCCTGCAGGGTCTTACATGCCAGCAACCACTCCTCCACTCCACATGCTCCCATGGCTGAGTGGTCTGGATGGGACTAGTGGGTTTACAATATATGGTTGCATGCAGTGGTGGCGGCACTGGAGTAGGTGGGGCAGGAGAAGGAATTTCATTGCCCAAATCCTTTGGGAATCACTAGTTTAAACTTTAGCATGGGATGACAGGCAAAATATCCAAGATATGTTAAACCAATTTTCTGACCCCAGCAAATAGGAAGCAACTAATCTGAAGGGGAAGCCACCCAGTTTCTCTGTTCGTAACCTTTACTATTCTCCTTATTGCATCTGATCTTACATTTGAAAATTCATCTGTGTCACATTAAGACTGCTTTTGATAATCAAATATTGACAAGAACCAAGTAAATGAAAGTTGAGTAGAGAGGAAGTAGGTTCAGTTCAAACCTCTCTTTGCCACTTTGACTCCCGCCTCCCCTGCCTCCCATGATCAAAATGCCACTCTACAAACCACTTCTAGAATAAAAATCAAGATGCAAACAAAGGTAAATTCACTGGTGAGGATCATTGTTTTCCAAAGTCTCAGGTTTACATATATTAAGGAGTATTAGCTTCTTTCATTGCTTTGAATATCTCTAGAATGAAACATCTACAGTAAGATGTTAATTAAAGGGTGGCTTTTGTTCAAAACAATTTCAGTTTAGACAGTAGAAAGCTAAATTTGATTGTGTCAAGATCCTTAAGTTCCATTTAAGAGATGGGAAGAGACTTCCATGGTTTTTATTAAATACCTTAACAAGCTTTTCACTTCATACATGCAGTTCAAGTAAGAAGAATATACTTACACCTCAAGTGAAAGTCCACACCAAAGGTAGCTGTACAAAATAGACCCGTCTTGAATCATTGTTTGTTAGCATGTACTGATCACTCTCAACCCCCCAAAAATTTCCCAACAGAGTGAAATCTGCTTTTTAAGTAGCAGACAGAACACTAATAAGGTAGGAAAGTCTTAACAGAGCTATTTTACCAGTTTTTTTGTTAGCCTGAAAGATCTTAAAAACTATCCCCTTTCCAAGCTGAAGGCCTCTAACACAAGACTACCCCAAGCAGAAAGAGACGTTTGGATATTAAAGAGTTGTAAATGGAACCAAAAGGGACAAGCTGAAGATATCCAAACTTCTGATGCATTGAGCCCAGTTACTGAAAAGGCAAAAATATCCAAGCAGGTATTTTTCCAGTGAGCATTCTCCCAGGCTACCAACTGATCAAAGCAGCACTTAAACCCTCCCAACCCAGGTGGATTTCTTCTGAGTTCTAATTACAGTTGAGTGAGGATTCATGCATTTAAAAGCAAACAAACCAACAAAAAAAACAAAAAAACAAACACAAAAAAACCCAAGTACTTTAGGACTTCCTCCAGTAACTTTGCTTTATGCTACCATGGCCATAGCGCTAAGCCATGAATGAGCAAAAGTAGTGTCATAAACAGTCTTTCATCAACTCCAGCATAAGAAATATGTTGTCCGAATCTCTTTCCTGCCCATTGTAAGTCTATTCCTTTATGCTTAGTAGGTCAAGTATTTAAATAAGCATGCTGTAACTATTGACTTTTTGTAACGAAGGCAGGGTACATCAGCCCCGTGTTCATACTGAGGGCAACAACCTAGCTTGTGCTGAGCTACAGCTATGTTACTAAACAAGAACTAAGTCTTTGGAAACTTGAAGAGGATTTCAGTGCTAAACCATGTTTTATACTACTTCAAAGCTTCTGCCAAAAGAACATTAGCAGTCAGAAACAGCTTTTAATGTGCTCCCTGAAACAAAACAAAAACCCTGCCATTAGTTTGTCCTATTATGAAAAGTGATGCTAATGCTTAGATCCACAATACAGCTACAAAGCTAGGGACCAGATTCTTTGGGACACTGAACAAGAAAAAAAGAAACCCAGTGACACCAACAAGCAAAATCTAGCCAGCAGGTACTACCTATATGGTCACCTTACATCACCTTTTTCTGTTGCCAGCGTAAAGCAAGAGCCTGCAGGATTTTTTCATGCTGTGCAATTCCACCCCTCCCCAGCCAACTTATTCAAACCTTCAGGAATACTGGCTATTCCAAAACACACCAAGCTTCTTTCAAACTAAATACTTGATTCATGAAAGTATTTCAAATACAGCTGCCAAGAATCAGAACACAAAATGGTAGAAAAGCGTGTCATCTCTGTACTCCAAACTGCATCTATGTTGAGACATGACCGGGGCCTTTAGATGGTGCAAGAGACTTTGAGGCCTTCCTTGAAGTGCAAGATGAAGCCTTTCATGAAGAATTCCTAAACTTAACCATCAGAAAGAAGTCAAAGTGTCTGCTCCTGAAAAGTACTTTTACAAAAAGGAAAAGTTTGCATGCAATACCACACAACACTAGTTGCTCTAGTTCTTGTTTATTTCAAATAATGATAGTGAAAGACATTTTTGAACCCTCACATGAGAGAAGGGCACAGCCAATAATTACATGAAATACAGAACTTCAGTGTCCTACATGGTCAAATATAAAATTTCAAGAAACTAGTCGCCGGTTAGTCCGTTATTCATCTATTCAGTCAAACCAAGCTTCTTCTTCAGAGACTCTGGCATTTCAGGTGGAGGTGGGCGAGGAAGTTTGAAATAAACCTTCACAGAGTCATAGATGAACCACTGTAGTGCAGTCAGGGTACCAATCATGATAATACGGGCAAAGAGACCCTTCCATACACCTGTTGAGTAAAGCAAACATTAGGAACTAGAAAAGTTCACTCCCCATACCTCCCGTTAAA